GCGCCACCACTTGGAAGCACAGGGTGGGCGGCGTGGGCCGGCACGTGGCCTCCCAGCAGAACCAGGCCTCCCCCTCCGGAGCGTCATGGAGCGGCTGGGGCCCCGACAGCACCGGGCCCTTCGGGGCGGCCTGTGTCCTGCCGCCTCGGACCCGCTCTGCTCGGTGGGAAGTGAGACACCAACAGGAAGGCCGGGGAGGATCGCTTCTGAGGAGAAGGCGAGCGGCAGCTCCATCCTAGCAGCAAGAATAGCACCTTCTGTAGACAAATGGGCGGTACCTACAGCAGCCGCAGCCAGAGCCGTAGCCACAGCCGTAGCCAGAGCCATAGCCACAGCCATAGCCAGAGCCATAGCCACAGCCATAGCCACAGCCATAGCCACAGCCGTAGCCAGAGCCATAGCCACAGCCATAGCCAGAGCCATAGCCAGAGCCGTAGCCACAGCCGTAGCCACAGCCATAGCCAGAGCCATAACCAGAGCCGTAGCCACAGCCATATCTGGATCCATATCCACAACCATAGCCACAGCCAGAGCCAGAGCCATAGCCACAGCCATAGCCAGAGCCATAGCCACAGCCGTAGCCAGAGCCATAGCCACAGCCATAACCAGAGCCGTAGCCACAGCCATAGCCGCAGCGGCCGCAGGAGCTGCCGTAGTAGTTACAACACATGGTGCCTCAAGGGGGTCGGTCTTTGGAGGAGGAGCGGCTGAGGTGGAGTGTGGAGGCCCCCGCCCGCCCTGAGACCTTTATACCCCAGGACGGGTGGGCAGGGCGCCCCACACGACTCCCGCGTGGCCTGTCACACAGCAATCTTCATGGTTAACGAGCTGCTCACCCTCAGGACGCCTTCTCCAGGTGTGATGCCCAGGCTGGGCCCAGCCGGTCACAAGAATTGTAACAAAACAGACACAATCCACACATTGGACAGGGACAGCTCACCTGCCTGAGGGACATGTGACTGAACACGCCTGTGGAATGTCACCACGCTGGCGCAGGCTTTCCCTCCGGGCCAGGAGGCCCCTGTGCACCCAGGGACACGCGTGGCAACCGGGCAACACGCCGGCCTCACCCCTCGACACCACGGGTGAGCGCCTGGGCCGGAGTGAGGGGCCCTCGGCAGGGCCCGGAGCAGGCACCCTTGGGTGACCCGGTGTGTGCAATGCACCCGCAGGGAAGCCCCTCGGTCTTGTCCGGGAGCAGCACCCCGTCTCAGAAGCTTCTCGGAAGATACATCCCTCGCCCTCGGGGCTCAGTGGCTCCGTGGTTGAGCATCAACCTAGGAACCAGGAGGTCATGGTTCAATGCCTGTCAGGGCACATGCCCGGGTCGTGGGCTCAATCCCCATTAGGGGGTGTGCAGGAAGCAGCTGATCCATGATTCTCTCTCATCACTGATGTTTCTATCTCCCTCTCCCTTCCTCTCTGAGATCAATAAATATTTTTTTAAAGGAAGCATCTTTGAGATGCACAGCGGGCGCTGGGTGTAACAGCCCTGTCCTTGCACAGCCCGGGCCCAACCCACCTGCAGCACTGAGCACGCTCCAACTGCCGCGGTCTCAGCCCCAAGCCCCTCCGTCAGCGTCAGCCAGGCCAATACCCGTCTTTGTTTCCTGTGAGTTCACAGAACGAGGCACTCGCCAGCTGTTGAACAAGAGTCCGTGCTGTGTTTCCACCTGTAAAGCAGCTATTTTCTTGAAGAGGACATAATATAAGAAAAAGTATTATTATTTTTATTATTATTATTATTATCTCCCTCTAGAGCTTTGGAGGCACAATCACACTTATTACTTCATCTGATTCTTTTTTTCATTTTTATTGTTTTTTTCTACAGAGAGGATGGGAGAGGGACAGAGAGAAACATCGATCGGCCGCCTCCTGCACACCCCCTACTGGGGATGTGCCCGCAACCAAGGTAACATGCCCTTGACCAGAATCGAACCTGGAACCCTTCAGTCCGCAGGCCGACCGACCCTCTATCTACTGAGCAACACCAGCCAGGGCACTTTATCTGGTTCTTTCATAAACAACGTGAAACAATCTGAGTTCCTCACATGCACACACACTACATGTGTCTCACCCAAGAACGCATAGGGCTGGGGTCAGAGTTGAATTAACTCACTCCTACTCTGACGTAGGCCCTGGCTGCATGAGGGAGGGGAGGAGATGAGGGACCAGGAGTGCGAGTGTCTGCCCGCAGCCAGCGGAGAAAGGCAGGGCCAGCCCGGGAGACAGACAGAGACGCGCTCCCGAGGGTGTTTCTAGAGCACAGAGCTCAGCTCGGGCCTACGCACCCATGTCTCACAGGACCTACGTGCAAGGCCCTGACCTGCAGGCGCCGTTCCTGGGTGGACCGTGGAGTAAGACGGGTGCCCAGACCCGCGCTGAGCTCTGTGCTCTAGAAACACCCTCGGGAGAGGGAGCCTCCGTCCGCCCTGCTGGCCCTGCCTTTCTCCACTGGCTACAGGCAGACACACACACTCCTGGTCCCGCATCTCCTCCCCTCACTCACGCAGCCAGGGCCTGCTCTCACCACAACCCCGCAAGCTTTCCCACCTACATCCTCACACCGTCTGCCAAAGCCATCGCAAGCTGTTCTAGCAATTAATCCCACAAAAACGTGAGAAGCAGGACTGAAGCATCAGGAAATAAGCGACTCCAATAAAACCCACTAATTTGTCGCCCAAAATAGATGGACAAGCATGATGCCACCTCAGCTGGTGTCCCAGCCTGGGTCAGAGTTGGCAGCTGTGGGACACACATATGACAGGTGCTCACAACACGGAACATGGGTGCCTGCCCGTGTCTATTTACAGGAGGACCGGACACCCACGTGGAGCAGGCTGTGGCCCTCTGGCCGTGGGGCAGTAGCAGGTATAGCTCTCTCCACCGACCAACGTCTTCCGCTCCTCCAGTGTGCTTCTGTACATGGCAATGCCCATCTTCCTTTCCTCAGCCTCCTCCAAAACCACGCATACACACACACAGAGGCACACGTGCACACACAGAGAGACAGGTGTGCACACACTCAGGCACAAAGACAGGTGCGCACACACATGCACACACAGAGACACCTGTGCACACACAGACATGTGCTCACAGAGAGACACACCCACACACAGACACACACACATGCACAGACATGCGTGCACACACATACACGCGTGCACACTTTTTCTGCTTGTATCGCCCCCGCTCCCCATACGTTACCAGCACTGGGCATTCACTCTGCTGAAAGTGTAGGAATTCTCTGACTGAGAGAGGCACACATTTCAGATTCCTAACCCATGTGGAATGGTAGATTTGAAGGTTCCTCCCTGGATTATAAATCACCTTACCCGTGCCTGCACAATCCTCCTCCCTTTTTATAGCATGCCTTCCACAACAAGAAATATCAAATCATCAGCTAACTTTCCAAAGAGCGGGCACGGTCAGCAGTCCCTTCTCGCAATCGGTCCCCAGAGCGTGCTCAGCCTCAGGTCTGACCCTCGGAGGTGCCGCTGGGGAACCGCCTGCCCAGGAGGAAGCCCTGTGTCTTCCCTCCTGGACACCTGCAGCCTGGGGGGCCTCCCCAGGGCTGGCTGTGGGGGGCCTCCCCAGGGCTGACTCAATCCCCAGTGGGGGGCGTGCAGGAGGCAGCTGATGAATGATTCTCTCTAATCATTAGTGTTTCTCTCTCTCCTGGCTCACCTTCTCTGACACTCACACCCAAGCACAGGAGGACCCGGACACCAACGTGGAGCAGGCTCTTTGAAACCAATAAAAATATGTTTTAAAATTTTTTTAATTAAAAAAAACAACAACAAAGCAATGGGCTTTCCCACCCCGACAGCCTCTCAGACACGCTAGTCCCATCCCTCCAGCTGCCCACGGAGCAGCCGCCAGGCTCTCCCACAAAAGGAAGAACCGGACACCACCTGCTCAGAACCCGGCGGCTCTTCTTCCCCTCTCACACGCGCTGCCGTCCCTTCTGGTTGTTCTTTACAACGGGCATCAGCTCATCGCCCAACTCCCTGTGCCCCCTGGGCGACATCCCCACACCCAGCCTTCCCCTCCTTCCCTTTCACCTGGAGGATTCCCTCTCTAGCAAGAATATCTTATCTTTACAGCTGCTCTTCTGACTTTACCTAATTCACTATAAACACTGGGAAGACAGCTTGTCGTCTTCCTGCTTTGCCTGTAGTGTATAGAATGTGGCCCTTTCAAAAGCATTTGTCCATTGAGTGACAGGTCAATTCCATCCACCTCCATGGATGCAAACAAATATAACTGCGCTTCCAGGGAATACTGACGATAGAATGCAGAGTTTTCTTCTGATGCGTCTTTTCTTTAATGCTCTGCTCGTCAAGCTTAACGCCTTTGTCTGCTTCTGGTTCCTCAGAAACCCTGGAAGCAGTCTGCTCCCATCTCTCCTTTACGTGCCCTGGCCGCGTCTCTCTCTGGGACTTCACGCGGCTCCTCCTAAGAACGTCATTTTGCTTTTTCTTTCCCTTCCAGGTCCATTGTTCTGAAATGGTGTGATTTGTGCTCGTGTGTGTGAGTGCCCGAGAAGCTGAGCCATAAGAAACAGGTGGAGAAGTCATTACTTGTGATTCAGGAACAAGACAAAAATGCTTGTATTGCATCCAGGGGGGTCCCACAGTGAAGTCACACACGTTAGCCCAATTTTCAAGATCGCCCATAATGTTTCAAAAGAGAGGAACTCACAAGCCAGTCCACACAGATTTCTTAGAACCAAAAAAAAGCACATTTTTATTAAAATGGCGATTTGCAAAACTGCAGGATGTTCGTATCATCAACACCATCATAACAGACAACGGAGACGAAGGAATGCAGGATGACATTCGGAAACCAGTCAGGTGGTAACCACAGGCCGTGGGCGCAGACGCGGAAGAGGGCAGCTGGAGGGTGGGGAGTTCTCGGATGCAGAAAACTCAAGGGTGGGTGCTGAGTCAGGCTAACTTCAGGGTCATTTCAGAAGCCCGGAGGATTGGATGGTGCTGCTACCAGCAAGAGGAGTAGCATCTTCTGTAGCACAATGGCCTGTAGCCATAGCCACAGCCATAGCCTCTTCCATAGCCACAACCGTAGCCACAGCCGTAGCCAGATCCATAGCCACAGCCGTAGCCAGATCCGTAGCCACAGCCGTAGCCACAGACGTTGCCGTAGTAACTGCCACACATGCTGTCAGGAGGAGCGAGCTGGGCCGTGCTTCGGGAGGTGGTTCTGGGTGTGAGCCCCCTCCTGCCCTGGGCCCTTATATTCCGTCCGGCGCCGGCACCGGCACGCATGCCATTCCTCCTGCCTGAGCCAGAAGCATGCAAACAGCGACATGCTCCGCGCCAGTCACCGCCGACAGCCCAGCCGCTCTGCGTGGGTGAGCTCGTTATTTCGGAGACGGCTTTATTACAGAGCATCCTTCTCGCTGGCTGTCTCAGGGAGGCCCAGGGCAGACCGGGATCGGAGCCCCTCTTCGGCGCCACACGGAGCAGCTTCCCACCGAAGCCAGAGAGGCCCCGGGGGCAGGGAACAGAACTTGCTGGTTTGGGGTCTTTAGATTCCTGCCACTCCCCGAAACTGTGTAAGCTGCTTAACTTATTTCTTTATTTTCTCTAAATATTTTCTAATTTTATGTTTACAGCCCCAGCTGAACTATAGCAATCGGCAAGAAGATGCCTGTAAATTAGTGATAGACAATAGGTAGATAGATGATAGATAGATAGATAGATAGATAGATAGATAGGTATATAAATAGGTAAATAGATGACAGATACATAGATGAGATAGATGATAGATGGATAGATGATAAATTAGAGATAGAGGTAGAGATAGAGAGAGATAGCGATAGAGATAGAGATAGAGATAGAGATATAAAGACAGAGATAGGGACAGGGAGAGGGAGAGAGAGAAGGAGAAGGAGAGGGAGAAGGAGAGGATTAGGGACAGGGACAGGGACAGAGACAGAGGCAGAGACAGAGATAGAGATAGAGACAGAGATAGAGACAGAGATAGGGACAGGGAGAAGGAGAAGATTAGGGACAGGGACAGGGACAAAGACAGAGACAGAGACAGAGACAGAGACAGAGATAGAGATAGAGATAGAGATAGAGATAGAGATAGAGATAGAGATAGAGATAGAGATAGAGTTAGAGAGAGATAGAGATAGAGACAGAGATAGAGACAGGGAGAGGGAGAGGGAGAGGGAGAGGGAGCAGGAGAAGGAGAGGGAGAAGGACAGGATTAGGGACGGGGACAGGGACAGGGACAGGGAAGGGATAGGGATAGGGACAGAGATGATAGAGACAAAAATAGAGACAGAGAGACAGACACATGACAGAAAGTCACCACTGAGGCCACGACATGACTACGTACTGACTCAGTTGCAAACTCCCGCCTGCCCCTGGACCCTAATCCAATCACCGAGAACGTCTTCTCTCTTGGCTGTGTCATTCCTCATACGTCTGTCTGATCTCTGGGTGCCGCCTGGTCCCGGCAGCACACAGCCTCTGCTTGTCCCTGGACCAGCCCTCCGAGCGCAGTGCCGGCACACGGTTTGGGCTCAATCAGCATCCCCTCTTCCCCCAAAAAGATGATGAAGCTCAAACGCTGGTTGCTGCTTATAACCTGCTAGAGGCCGGCACACGGGACCCCCAGGCCTGGCCTGCCATCTGGGCTGTCTTCCCCAGCTGCCCGCAGCCGGCCTCACCCCCACCGCCACCCCCTCATTGCCCGTTCGCCATTGGGTGATCAGTGTTGATGGCCTGGGGGGAGGGGAGGGCAAGAGGTCGGCTGTTCCTGCCCGCTCACCAGCCCTGCCCCTGCCATTGATGATTGGTGCCTGCCGGCTGGGGAAGGGACCAAGAGGTGACTGGTCAACTGAGCATCCTGAAGACTCGGTTCCAATGGTCATTCTGGTCATTCTGGTCATCCTGTTGTTAGGGTCACTTTGCATACTACCCTTCTATCAGATAGGATACGATATTACCCTCTTATTATATATTACCCTTTATTACCCTTTTATTAGATAGGATAAGATATTACCCTTCTATCAGATAGGACACGATATTACCCTTTTATTATATATTACCCTTTATTACCCTTTTATTAGATAGGATAAGATATTACCCTTCTATTAGATAGGATATTACCCTTTTATTATATATTATCCTTCAGATAGGATAAGATATTAATCTTTTATTAGATAGGATAAGATATTATCCTTCTATCAGATAGGATACGATATTACCCTCTTATTAGGATAAGATATTACCCTTTTATTAGATAGGATAAGATACATGCACACACGCTTGAGTTCTCTGGGCACCAGTCTAAGCATTTCACACACCTGTTCCTCACCTGCTTCACGCCTATTCCGTGTTCCTGGTGTAGAAACTGCGCTCAATACACATGATTCCCGTCCCCTCGTGTTTCACTCGCAGCTTCACATTCTCCCCTGACGCCCACGTTAAATACCCATCCTCTCTGCCCCGAGACGCCAGCTGCGGTGACCTTAACGTGATAACCTCGCAGCGTGGAGTTCCTCCCAGCACATGTATGTGCTCTCCACACGGCCTCTTCTCGCCCCCACTGACCCCTTCTGTACGCTGGTCTGCTCCTAAGAGCCGGAGGGAGGGGAAGAGAGAGGGAGGGAGGGAGGGAGGGAGGGAGGGATGGAGGGAGGGGAAGAAAGAGAGAGGGAGGGAGGGAGGGAGGGAGGGAACGGAGGGAGGGGGGAGGGGGAGGGGGAGGGGGAGGGGGAAGAGGGGAGGGGGGAGGGGAAGAGAGAGAGAGGGAGGGGGGAGGGGGAGGGGGAAGGGGGGGAGAAGAGAAGCGGGTGCTGTGTGTCCCTTAGGGAGCCGGTGCCTTCAGGGTTGGCCAGGGTCTGAGCCGCCCGGTCAGGGTTGCCTCATCCCTCCTGCCGGAAGGAAGGAAAGGAGAAGCCAGCTGCTGTTTATCCTTTATGCTGAGTCAGCCTATGAAAGGGATTAACTTTATTTCACGATCGTATAAAATTAACCGGTAAATAAGAGGCCCTGGCAGCTCAGACTCTCAGCATCCATCACGGGAAGTGCCGGCACCCCAGCCTTTACGCCCCAATCCTGCTTCACCGTCCCCCTCGCTGTCCCCTCCTGTCCCGGACGAGGCTGCAGTGAGGGTGTTTCCTGCAGCGTTTAACGATCATTCCCAGGCGGCCACAACACCAATTCCTCCAACCAACCTGTCCCCATCCCCTCCGACGGGGCAGCCAGACCCGACGTCCAGGTGTGGCCAGAGAGGACGAGACGGAGCATCCGTCCCTCAGAGACGCCGCTGTCCTCCGGGCTCACCCCAATCTCCGCCCCCCTCCCCGAGGGGAGCCTCGGTCCGCCCACACACTGACGCCCGATGCCACACAGCCCCCTGGGTGCTCGTTGGTGGGCTGCTTTGTGTGTGTTTAACACAGGTTTTCCGTTTCCAGGTTGTAAAATCCACCTTGAGCTGCTTCCTGGTCATTTTATCTTCAAGTCGTCTCTGCAGAGCATCGAAGAATGTAGCCTTTGTCTCTGATGAGTTTGGGATTCTCTCTCTCTCTCTCTCTCTTTAAATAGATTTTTGTTGATTTCAGAGAGGAAGAGAGATGGAGAGAGAGAGAGACACCCATGATGAGAGAGGATCATTTGATTGGCTGCCTCCTGCTCGCCCCCTACGGGGATCAAGCCCACAGCACAATCAGGAACAAACCGTGACCTCCTGGTTCACAGGTCAACGCTCCACCACGGAGCCACGCCAGCGGGCGGGATTCTCTCTTAAGGCCACACCTGCAGGTGGACCTGCCTCACCCAGCTTCCCCCTGGACGGCTGCTGCACCCGCAGGTGCCCTGGGTCCCCGCTCCCCAGGACACACAGGAGGCTGGCCCGACCGGTGGTCCCACGCCCTGTCCCTGGAGCCTCTCACCACCAGGCCTGTCTCCCGCCCGCTGCTCAGGGGCGCCACACACGGAACCACACGGTGACTCAGGGGCGCCCACACACGGAACCACACACGGGGACTCACCGGAAGGGGGTGACTGCGTGAAAAGGTAAAACAAAATTCCGAATCCAGACAAAGCTCCAGACGCCTGGGGCGTGGTGCGTGGCTCCCTCGCGCAGGGGCAGCAGGCAGGATCGGCCCCCACACCTGGCCGCTCACCACCCAGTGTCCTCGGGGCTGAGCCCCCAGGCGCCGACTTTAAAAACAAAGCGGGCAGCGACTTTACCAGCAAAACGGGCTTTTTCAGACATAGCAGGACCTGGCCAAACGCATGGCCAGTCAGGCCAGCCGGGAGAGGGGCAGCTTTTATAGATAAAGGGAGGCGGCTGGGAGCAGCTGTCCTGCAGACACTTCCCTGTCAGGGGCCCTGTTTTCCTGCAGCGACGACATTTCTTTTTCTTTTTTTTTTTAATATATTTTATTGATTTTTTTACAGAGAGGAAGGGAGAGGGATAGAGAGCTAGAAATGTCAATGAGAGAGAAATATCGACCAGCTGCCTCTTGCACACCCCCTACCGGGGATGTGCCCGCAACCAAGGTACATGCCCCTGACCGGAATCGAACCTGGGACCTTTCAGTCCGCAGACCGACGCTCTACCACTGAGCCACCCCGGTTTTGGCAGCGACGACATTCCTAACGTTGATAACTAACGGGACCGCCCCCCTGGGGCTGCTCGCTGTGCAGTCTCTGCCAGGCCGTCGTCGCCAGTCGCTGCTGTAGGAGCCATCGCTCGGGGTCAGGGGTCTTTATTTTCACGGCTGTAGGGATTGCTGCTGTTATTGTTGCTGATTGCTCTCGGCTGATGGAAGATGCCGGACGTTCTGTGAGGTTAACGAGAGTAAAAGCAGCTTATGGGGGTCAGAAAATAAAAACCTCCACCTCGGTGTGTTAAGAAAACCGCCTCTTGATTGCTCATTAAAAAAACACAGGTCTGTGCAAAAATCATGTTTATCCCGGTAAAGGAGTGCAGAAACATTAAATGAGAATAAACCATGCTTGTTTGCCCCCAAAAAACAGTTCTCGGGGAGACAGCGGTTAATAAAGTCATCGGTTCCGAGTGTACATTTCTATCCTCTGTACACAGCATTGTGTGCCAAAGTGAAATCATCTTTGTCACCATATATTTGCTCTCTGTCTAACTTATATTTCAAAATATTTTTATTGATTTCAGA